AGTAGCAGACTAGAGAGAGGAAAACATACGCCCTATTTTAAAAACCAAATAATAAAGAGAAGTTCCTTTAACTTCCATTCTCAAATAATCTGTGACAAATTATCAAAAACGTTGAAAAAGTCCACCAACACGTGAATTGTGGAAAGCAAATCCTGCCATGCCAGCCTGATTTCATTTCTTATTTCTGATTTTCATTTTTATTTCTTTGTGGTAAAAGGGGAAGGAGAATGTACAAGAAAGAATGGGGAAATAGCTTCTAGGTGGAATCACTGTGATGCACTTACTGAAAATAATCCCTCTCAAAGGCTGCTCTGAATGGTTTGCTCCTGATTAGTAATTACAAGTGTGCTTCTGAGGGGTCTAGGATGAAACCAGATCCATTCAGTAATTTCATTGACAATTGGAGACTTATTGATAAATAATAAAATAAGATTTGCTGATGTTAAGACATCACTGTTTAGATGGTTTAAAAGGACTTTGAGGAACTGACTTAGATTTCAGAACGAAAATTTCATATTTTAGCAGTCAATCTGATGAAATTGCTCACTTTAGGGCAGAGAAATCAGATGCACAATGTAAAATGGGGAATAACTGACTAGCCAGTACAGCTGGGGATAATGCTGGAATCCAAGCTAACTGTGAGTTGCACATCTGATGTGTTACAAAAAGGCAAAAGTTTCATTCTGGGAACATTATTAAGAAGTGTTTCTCCCACATGGGAAGAATGTTATCATTCTGATCTGTTCTGCTTACCCCCTACCTTAGTAATATCTCCAGTCTCGAGAATATGGACAGACTTAGAAGGATCCAGAGAGAAGTATAGAGAAATGTCAGTGGTATAAAACTGCAGGAATCAACTTTTGATCCTGAAAAAAGAGTAATAAGGATCCCATATAATAGGCAATATATTCTTTTCAGACCTGTTTCTGTGCTTACCATTACTTCTAGCCTCACCTTGGTTCACCTTCCATATGTGGTTATACCTACGCTCTTCTTAAACAATCACTGTGTTTTAAAAAGCCAGAAATAGCCCCACAATATCTAAAAATCTATTCCACAATAGAAGAGACAAGAGCACAAGCAAATTTGAATGCCTGGGCAGAGAGAAAGCATACAGCATGGTATCCTCCCATATAAAAGAAGCTACATCAGTAAAGGGAAGGAAGGGGAGGTTATAAATGTTTTAGTGCAGAAAAAATAAGAATAGGAATTTGTACTTTATTAGACACATGGGGAACCACTCCTCAGTCAAGGAGGAGTATATGAATTTCTCTTTGTATGAATTCCCCAGATGTGAGTGTAAAGACTAATTGAAGGTTTTCTCAGGCTGAGTGTTGGCAACATTTCCTTTCCTTGTTTTTCTTATCTAATCAGAGCTGGGCTTGTGCTGCAAAGGCAGTATAATTCACTCATACATCAGTCAGCCACAAGACACATACGCATGGAACACAATTAACCTGCTGCTCTTGCAACTATTAATTTTACCTCTGTTTTCACGCTTTCTGATGTAAATTTCAGAGCACTTAATTCTTGCAGAACTGTTTCCTCTCCTTCAGGCACATAACCAAGATGATGGCCTTTTTTAAGCTTTCCCAGGTTATTTGCACATAAGATTTGATAATAAAAGGAAGTATCAAATCAGCTACATGCTTCCCACGGTGAGAAAAAAAATATTTTAATCCACTGAAATACAGAAAAGGTTACATTAATACAAGAGAGTTCTTCCATATTGACCAATGAGAACAGAAGAAATGCAAACAGCAAGGGAAAAGTGTGACATTAACTTAACCTTTTTACATATTAAACTGTATTAAAATCTCTTTCTGCCTTTCTGCTCCAGAGTGCAGAGGATTTTATTTGAAGGACTGTACGTGCCCTGCACAGCTTTTGTCAGTACTTGTTTCAAAGGCTATTTATCAAGAAGTGTTAAAAACACCTCCTTCATTTGATCTACTCTGTCACTTTTTCTCTCAGAACATGCTAACAAGATCATTTTAAATACCGTCTGCAAAGGTAGACAGCTCTTTTTTGTGTCATGTTGCCTGGATAGTCCATGTTTTGTTTTTATAGGATTTCTAACAGGGTTTAATTGTTTCATGACATTTAGAAACATGTTTTCCCAAACAGGTTGAATTTTGTCTGTATTTGGCCTGACTGGTATCCTTGTGAGGATGCTACAAATCTATGTTCTGTCTGTGTTACAGAAGGCATAAGAGAGATTTTCCATTTTTGCTCTGTGTGCATTAACTACATTGTACTGGCCACTCCAAAAGTCAAGGTGATACAGACAGCCCCGCATGGCCAAACCTGGGGGAGACCTCTCCACAATCCAGAGAGCTCCTGTGCTGTGTGTCACTGTGGCCTGGAGGTCACCAAAAATGTCTAAAAATGCTTATTGCATGATACAACCAAATGTATTCTTTCTAGCAGAGAAAATCTGCTAAGGAAGAAATTTGCACTGCAAAAATAAGCCCTTTTTGCACAAAATAATCCTGATGGTTTTCCCCCACTGCTCAGGCTGCAGTATTTACAAAATGTGATAGTAAGGCTGAGAGGTTTTATTTGGATCAATAGCTTTTTAGTTAAGTACTGGCATAGAATGTGTACAGGATCCTGGTGGAGTTCTTAAAATAAGCTGCAACTCCTATTGAGAAGGTATGAATTCCTATTGAGAAATACTACCATAGTGCTTTAGTAGCATTCTTTCTGTCTCAGAACAAAAGCAGGGACTAGATAACTTCTTGACATCCCTTCCAGTTTTCTTTAAAGCTGGGACTCTTGTTGACATTCCATATTATGCACATTTATTTGGTAAATACTGTATTTCAAACTCAGGAAGGAAGGAAAACCTCTGAAGGATTACACTTTTAGTTGACAGAAACACAATAGTAGCAAAGAAGATGTACAAAACAGAAAACATTTCAATGTCCAAAGCCAGCTAAGAGCTGTTTTTGTCAAGATGGCCTTGTAAGAGGAAAAGGAAGTGCCCATCATCTTGAAATCTGCGTAGTCTCCTTAAAACCCTCTCAAGGATGTACAGACTTTGTTATTTTAGTGTAGCTGATACGCACAGCGAGGAAGCTGTAGATGCAAACTGAGGCAGGTGTGATGCTGCAGAGCAGATGTGCTCCTCTGGCGCTGATAAACAGGTTTGCTGAACACACTCACCTGAGACCCTTCCACACCCCTCCTGGCTGTCCATCATCTGGACCTGCACCTCCATCAGCACTAGGAGATCAGCCCTCGCTGTGGGCTGTGGGCCACCCATCCAAAGGGGCTGGGAGGCTTCTGCAAGGCAGCTGCAAAACATCAACTCTAAAGGCTGTGGTGCTGCTGATATGAGGCTCACAGGTCGCCTCACTGTGTTGCTTGTTTAACTCTCTCACAAGATAAGTAGGTGGATGTGATATTGCAGCACCAAGCAAGCTGTACAGCTGCTGCTTCCCACGTGTGCTGTCTGCCATGGGGACCAGGCACAGCAGAAAGCAACAACTCCCCTAGTCATGGAGAAGGTTTCCAGCATTGGAAGCCAACTCTTCTCATGGAGAGAAGAGCAAAACCAAAACAACCTGGCAGAAGACAAAGCTGGGAGGGAGATTGGGGTAGATGGTAGATGCAGACACCACTGCCCAATTTTACAGCTGTAGAAACAGAGGTGGAAAAATAGTAATGAAGCTAACGCTGACTGAAAAGCTGGGCAGGAGATGAGTGGCAGAAACTTATAATCAGAGCTGCTCTACCTGGAGCCGGCTGCTCTAACTAGACGGCTCAGCCAGGGGCTGCGCTTACTCGAAGCAAAAACCTTCTGTGCATACGCAGTTCAGAGCACACTCTTGTAAGAACTCCTGCATGTCCTGTGCCATAGCGCTACCCGTACTTTGGTGTGAAACTTTACTACCAAGATATGGATATTCAAATGATTCTCTCTACTAGAGAGCAGTTTGGCTGAGAAGTATTGGTGGATGGTAAGTCAACCACAAGCTGGCAGTGTGCCCCTGCAGCCAATAGTATCCTGGGGTGCATTGGGAGGAGTGGGGGCAGGAGGGCCCGGGGGGGTACTCACCCCTGGTGGGGCCACAGCTGGAGCACTGTGTCCAGTTCTGGGATCCTCAGTCCAAGAGACAAGAAACAACTGGAGAGGTTCCAGCAGAGGGCCATAAGGATGATCTGGGTCTGGACCATCTCTCTTATGAGGAGAGATTGGATCGGGGGAGCTGGGCCTGTGTAGTCTAGAGAAGACTGAGAGGGGATATCAGTGCATATAAATATCTCAAAGGTGGGTGCCATGAGGATGGTGCCAGACTCTTCAGTGGTGCCCAGCAACAGGACAAGGAGCAATAAACTGAAACACGAGAAGTTTCACCTCAACATGAGGAAGAACTTCTTTACGTTGATGGTGGCAGAGCACCAGAACAGGCTGCCAAGGGGGGTTGTGGAGTTGCCCTCTCTGGGGACATTCAAAACCGCCTGGACATGATCCTATATAACCTGCTCTGGGTGGCCCGGCCTTGGCAGGGGGTTGGACTGGTTGATCTCCGGAGGTCGCTTCCAACTCTAATGATTCTGTCATTCTGTGAAATGTTGAATCTTTGTGCTTTGACTCTCTCTTTTCTCTATAAAAACAGCAGGTTATATTCAGCAAAGGTCCTCTCAGGGCCAAATGACACTGAAAGTTAAGGTGTAGCACAGATAATGTTTCCAGTGACTCCAATGTATCAAGCAATTCAAAACAAAATCTTTTATGTGAAGAAGACAAGGCAAGCTATAAATGCATTACACCGATTTCAGCAGAAGATGAGCAGCATTTGATATACCACATTCAGAATCCACTTTGGAGGTTATTTAATCTGCCAGTAATATCCCTCAGACAGACAGGAACAAATTTACCTTGATGTGTCTGTCTGTCATTCAAGTAACCTGTGATCTATTGAATATGTCTCTTTCTGAAATGCTCGTTTTACTGCAATTCTGTCTGACTCAATATTCTTCTTACCTGACAGGTAGGAGATCAAATAATTGAAATCAATGGAGAAAGCACAAGGGACATGACACATGCCAGAGCAATAGAGCTAATCAAGTCTGGTGGCAGGAGAGTGCGACTGTTGTTGAAACGTGGAACAGGACAGGTCCCAGAATATGGTGGGTTTTCATCTCTATATTTTAAAATGTGCATGAACCTATATGAATTAATTCTATTGCTTTTGAGCTAAGTAGCAGTTGCAGATATTTATACATTATAATGTCCTGGGGCACATTAACTGTGGGCTTAAGTGCTTACCTGAGTCGAGGTGGACTTAATACACAAGTTTAAGTATTTCCTTGGCTCAAGATGTGTGTAGCATCACTGTCGTCTGCTGCCCTCCCAACACAGGCAATGGCTTAGAAGATGTGCATTGAAGGAAGCACTTTGAACCGTTTAGGGGACATCTCTGAGTGTGCTGGGAGTTGCTGATTTGACCATAAACTTCTTTTCTTCCTCTATTGGTACTTCTCTGCCATTTAGACAGTATAGAGACCTTCTTTCACTACTGAGATGACAAGTAAAAATGAATTTTCCAAAGGTAATTTCAAAGACAAAAAGCCCTTTTTTAAATTTGAAATCAGGGCTTTCTGTAGGCTATGGTGTGACAATGTCATATATTTACATACGTTCTGTGATGTGCACAGCTGGGCCTGAAATCTCACAGGAAATGAAAATTCCATGATTTCTTTATGCTACGAGATCCAAAACTCTATTAAACTTTTCTAGTGTTACTTTTGATGTCCCAGCACCATTTCCCATTAGAATCAGAAGTTGCAGTAGCATATGAAACTTCAGAGTAATACTTAGGCTTAACTGTAGGTTCAGATCAGTCTTTGTTACCAACAGGAATTTGTTTACCTTTCTTGGAGACATTAAAGTCAGCTCCACTAAAAGTCAGCGCTTTGCCAGCTGTGAGTATACATGGCTATTGCACCATTTTCTTCTTTAAACTAGAGCCAATTCTGTGGCTGAGGCAATATTCAGGATAGTGTATGTTGCATTTTTTTCCAGCTTTCAACAGGTTTTGAATGAGGGCAGCAAGACAGGCCATAGCCCACTCATCTGGTGATAAAGTTAGTGGTTATACTTCTGGTGAGTAGGAACAAAGCCAAAATGGCTTTCAGGGATTATGATAAATCAGTACTAAGACATTTAATATCAATTTAAAACAGTATATAATCCTTTCAGAGAGACCTCCGACAGAGATTCAGATCACCTCCACAACTCTTTTGTAGGGAGAGGTGCATTAATTTTAATGAAAGAACAAACAAAAGTCCTGGACTGTTATAGTGGTTGTAATCCTCCTCAAATAGCACAACCATATACCAACACTTCTCCAGTTCCTCAGAAAACAATTTAAACTAAGAGGGGCTCACAAAAGGCTGCTATGAGCAAAGAATCAATTGCAGTTCAGACCCATTCCAAATCTGAGTTTCTGAAAATCCCAGTTCTGGATGGCACCTACACCTAGGTTTATGGAAGACCCAAAATAAATTTCTATATTTATATAAGCTTATAAATCTGTACCTCATGCCAGAATTGTAAGAAAATGTAAATGGATGTTGAACAAAGTTCATTGCATTGTTCTGGGAAAACAAATTACTTGAAAGGGGTAAATATGCACCAGTCTTTCCTTCCCCAGAAGAACATGAGTAGAAAATGCAGATAAACCACTACAAATCTGGACACATTTTATAGTGCTAACAGAAAGAAACAAGATGACTTCACAGGACTGTTTAAAGCCACGCTCACCACTTGGAAAGGCATTTGGAATGCTTCGCATTAGTTGTGTAAAAATGCAGATTACTGTGAAATAAAAGCTGCTACAAAGAAGCACTGTTTAATAAGATCATTTTCTAGCTGCATCCCCAGCTTACATCTCCATACAGGATAACTAAGTAGCTATACTTGAAAGCTGTGTTGTCCTACTGTACAGAAAAAGCAGTGAAAGCATTCAGGAGTTACAGGAGGTACACATAACCTACAGAAAGCATCACGGCAAAGCATAACATCATGGCAAAGGATAACAGAATCATAGAATCATAGAATAGTCATGGTTGGAAAGGACCTTAAGATCGTCTAGTTCCAACCCCCCACACATGTCTGCAGTTCTACAATATGTGCATTACACAGGCAGAGAAATCTCAGTGCTGTATCCAGTCTGCAGGCGGAATGGAAGCAAAACAAGAAGATGCCTGTTGAAATTAACTGAGATATTAAAGACCTCCCTAGGTCATTTCCCAAAGCAATGAGAAATAGTCTAAGAACAAACAAAAGGTGCATAAAAACCAACAGCTGCTTGCTTGGGAAATTAAAAACAGAAATTAACAAACAGAAACAATTAAAACCAGAGAGCATGCCTTGAGAAGGCCAGATCTCAAGGGTAAGTCATCGTGCTGCAAAGAACATCTGTCAGAGTATTAATGACAGAGACCCTCAGAAAGAACATCCTTTCCAAATAATGGAAAGCTGAATGCAGAGGAGACTGTGACAGTAAGCTTGAGGACAGAATGGTCCTGAGGACAGCAGATAAACTAGTCAATATTTAGTTCCCTCTTCTTCCCACTGGAATTGCACGGTTGAGATGTAACAATTGGCTCTTTTTTGACTGAAATAATCAGCCTTATTTTTTTTTATTTTTTAGCACGTACATGTCAGAAATATTTCTTATTCTCATTAGGGTCCGGCTCTGGACACCATCAGTGGGGAAAAAGGGCTTAGTTGAGTATAAAAATGCAAGGCTGGAGGACTGAGCTTGGTGTCTGGATTGCAGTGGTGGTGTACAGCTGAAGCCTAGGGAGAAATACAAACACAGAACAAGTAAACCATGGTCCTCTCCTGGATACTCTCTCTCAGTCTCTGACAAGCAAAATGCAAAATGGTCAGGGACTTCCCAGGTTGCTTGTAGTAATTCTGTGTTTAAAGACCTTTCCAGCAGCAGTGGTGGTCAGACTTACAGCATTAAAAAGAAGGAAGCTTAGCTAAAACAACCTAAAACCAACCAGCAAAGAACTGTCACGTTATTGTCTCTCAGTCTTCAACTTTTTTAGTTTCCTTGTACAACATGATCAATGCTTTTTCAGTTCCAGAGCCATGTTTCTGTTAGTACGAAGTATGGCAGTCTGTATTTAATTCAAAGAAATATCACTGCTTGATGATGTGATTGGCATCAGTAAAAGTAGTGTTAAGGAAGAATCATCAGTGGTAAGAAAGTGATCAGTGAAAGAAAAGAATATGTATTGAAAAGAAGAAAGCACTCAGTGAAGAAACAAAGAACAAATTGCTGGGAGGATGTAAATCTCCTGAAAGAGTTATGTCAGTTTATGCTGCCTGAAAATCTGTCCCTACAAGTACATCTCAGAAGACTGTGGCTCAGCTAGAGCACGAGGCAAACCGAGGGGAAGAAATAAAGTGTGTTGCAAATGCATCATTTACCTCAACTCCAGCTGCTGATTTTGCTTGAAAATAAATTCCAAAGATCCCAAAGCACTTCAGAGGGTGAAATCCCCTCATCGCAGGCACGGCAGCATCAGAATATATGGGAAGGAGCACAGATATGATTAATGCTCCAAAACGATAACTGATTTCACAGCAGGGTGTAACAGAAGAAGCGTAGAAAACAGATGTTTTATCACCCAGCATCTCAGAACATGTTTGCTGAGGATAAGGATAGCCAGAGGAGCTGTGCTTCCACTGAAGGGGAATTATCACAGCTCGTTGAAACCTGAAGAACATCAGCGTCGTGATTCACAGGAAATAGTCTGCCATGTTCTCCAAAGATCCAAGTCATAGTAAGAAATCATATTACTGTGCAAGAAAGAATAAAAGTACTGAAAGCACTTAATGCCCGGGGAGCCTGGCTGGAGGGAGTGTGAGGTTTCATACACATCACAGGGGACAAAACTCGCAGTCATCACTGTAGCACTGAGCACTTCTCAGACCAGCATTAAACATGACTTGAGTAAAATGACAAATCAAGATTTTTCTTGCAATGGCTGCTTAATTCCCACTGTACGCACCTACCTG